GATTTAATAACGTGCAGTAGGAAATTAATGGAACATGTTAAATGGTGAATATAATCCTTAAATGTGAACATTTGAAAATAGAAATTAGAATTTAGATGCTAGTATTTCTTGATATGCATTTATCATGGTTAGAAAGCGGTTGAACTTAGGGAGTTGTGTTCAAATCTTCAAAATCTTGAACATTAAAAGAGGAATTAAAAGCTGTCCGAAAAGGAAAAGAAAAATACGCAAACAGCCATTCTTATGCATCTTTTATAATAACTAGTACATACACAGGACAAAAATATTAAATTAGTTATTTTCACATGTTTTGTCCGTTTAAGTATATAAAGTAATAGGGTTACCATATATTTTCCACCTCTTTTAATGAGTGTAATAAAGAATAATATTACAATTTATTTTTTGCACCTCTTTTAATCAACGTTGTTTTTTTAGTCAAAACATTAAATATGAGCATGTTAGGGCTAGCTTGTAAAATAATTAATATATTATCTCACTAACACATTTATACTAATATAAATTTGATTTTAGTATATATATTTATTCCTTGATATAAGAGAAAATAACAATTTTTCTTATTCTTGTTCACCATATAATGTCATTATTATTAAATTATTATTTTATTATAAACTTTGTTGTCATATAAAGTCATAATTATTTATACAGTTATAGAAATTGTACGTCTTCCTTTTTTTTATTTTTATGTAATGAAAAATATTTAATGCACGTTAGTATTATTTATTTATGTAATCAATTTAAAATATGTAAATAAATTTAATATTAAATAGTGTATAAATATTTTACAAAATATACACATGCTTTTTTAGAATTTAATTTTGTATACTAATTAAACAACTTTGATTTAGAAAATACCAAAAACTCAATCCCTTCTATGATTAAGATTTTTCTAATTCACATTATAAGCATTTATAGTTTATTTAGCATTCTCTGCAACGAAAATATATTTTACAAGAATTTAATTATAGAAATAAATCAAAATAAAAAAATAAAATAAATAATCATGGGCGCCAATGATATACAAATAAATTCTAAAAAATAGTTAATATATTTTAATTTTAATTTTTTACAATTAGTGAAACTATTTATTGTATCTGGTCATTATCTCTTAAATGGTAAATTATATTAATTTGAAGAACAATTTATTTTTTATATTTAACAAAATAAAGCTTAAGAAAAAAATATATTGGCAAAGATTCATTCACCAATTTTATTTTGTCTGATTACTTGGAAAAAAAAATTCTACATAACCTGTTACGATTTTCCATAAATATTTTTGGATACAAAGTGAATATTTGTGAAATAAAATTAATATTATGGTTAGAACTTAAAATATGGTGTAATATTTATTTTGACCAAAATATTATCAACATGGATCATGGAAATCAGTCTTTTATAATTTATTATAATGAATATCAATGAAAGTATTGTAAATATTAATAAATAATATTTATCTTGACCAAATTATTATCAATATGAATCACGAAAAATCAATCTTGTAATTTATTATAATAAATATCAATGAAAATAATTCAGATATTAATAAATTTATTTAAGTAATTTTTTGATCATATCTTATTTGATCTTATTTGAATGTATATGGAATCAATTAATGCATAAATTTAAAAAGTTAATAAATTTATTTACGTAATCTTTTGATCATATCTTATTTGATCTTATTTGAAAACGTGGATATATAAACAATTAATGCAATATTTAAAAAGTTTCCAAAAATGATTATGGATTAAATGTTTCCTAAATTTTTTGCTACTATTTTTAATAAATGGTAGTTCTTATTATATATATATATATAGATAAAAAAATCAGGTCGAGGAGAGACCTAAATGTAAAAATACCATAGTACGAACAGGTCGAGGAGAGACCTAAATGTAAGAGTAGGTCGAAATGAGGTTGAGATGGGACCTAAAGGTCCAAAGTAAGTCGAGATCTTAATTGACCGGCCTATGGAACATGAGACTACTTAGTACTTACAACTATCTCCATGAAGGTCACTGCGACCTATACTCCATACCATATCATGACCAAGAAACCAACTCCTATGTCATGAGTAGGATAAATTATCAGATTCAAGGTGACTTGATAAGTCATATATTGATCAATGTTCTGAAAACCGAACCGGTGAAACTACCGCTTCAATGGTTCACTGGTCGGACCAGTGGTCGAACCGGTTTAATTAATATATAAATTATTTTATTTATTTTATATGTATAATATAAGTGTGTATATATATATATTGGATGTTGATAAAAGATCAAGACCTATATATTGGGCTTGCCAAAATTGATGTTTGGGTTGTGCATTGCCAAGTCGAAAGCCCACAACTTAACAGTTGTTATTA